TCCGGCCGGAGACCCGAGGCCGATGCCGCGGGGCGCCCCCGCGCGCCTCACCTAGCTCTTCGCTCGTGCTGTCGTTATCAGGAGCGAACGGGAACCTCTTCTGCTCTGCCACAGACTTGGCCTGGCTCTGAAATCGAAAAACACAGACGTGTATTTTACCGCCTCACGAATGAAGAGAAAACATAACGAAAACCTGTAATCTGGGAAGGTAAAGCTACATTCGGTTTACAGGGAAGCAAGAAAGAGTTCACTTTGTCACACCGCCCGCACCCTCCGAGGGCACTGCTTGCGTGTCGCGGCCTCGCTCCCCGCCCTGCCGTCCGGGGCCCCGTGTCCAGGAGCCGGCGTCTTTGTCCCCCCAACAGGGCCCATCCCGCTGGCTGCTTCGAGCGCCCTCCACATTTTCACAGACTACGTAACGACCTCAGCCGTGCTGCAAAGATCACATTCTGGTGACTGGTTCTTCAATGTGGCTCGATAACAGAATACGACTTTCAAATCCTAGAAGTATTTTAGAAATAAGAGCTACAGGTTGTATAGATGACAACATAAAAGGACCGACGAAATCTGACCAAGAAACGAGACGCTCCACTGAATGCCGCAGAGCACGTGACCGACGTGAGCACGCCGCGTGACGCACGGCTCGCCGTGCGGAATCCGTGCAGACACGTGCGCACGCGGCAGGGGGCCCGAGACGAAGCGGGGAGCTGGGGAGCAAACTGCACACGGCAGCTTAGTGGCCGGGGTGACCACAGGCAGGATTCGTGCACCGTACAAAGTGACGGCTCTACCGTGCTCTGGAGACAAATTGTGTCTGATTAACGGCTGCTACTTCCCCAGAGGACAGATCTGCCAACGCTCAGCCGGGACGTGCCTGGCCTACAGGCTGCACGTGACCATGACGTCACGCCGGTCACCGAAGAGACAATCAGAGCTTGTTCACACATAGACAGGAAAGGCGAGACAGTCTGTTGCTCTGGGCAACACTGTAGGATTACAAGTCTAATTCAAAAGTTTTTCCATATATCAAGTTGACAGTTATTGCAGTGAGTTATGTAAAATCAATGGATCATTCTCTGGTTTGCAATTCCTACCTAGTTTCGGCAGTTTTAAGAGGAAAAGGCAAAGCTTAGCTTGGGAAAGAAAGAGTATCCTCTAGTGGGAGTTTAAACAGAAGGAGAAAACGATACTACCGGATGCCGAAGGAAAAATCCCAGAGGAGAAGCGCGTTGGCCGCTGGCCTCGTGAGGAGAACCAGGCCGCAGCCGCAGGAACCGCGCGTGCACGGGAGGCGGAGCCTGCCCTTGGGGCGGGGCCGGGCGGCGAGGTGCTGACCGAGGTGCTGACCGGGACGGGCCAGGCGGAGCTAGCGCCAGGCGCTCACCCGAGGGGAGGCCCGGGCCAGGTCTGGCTGCTGCGACTGAAAGGCAGCAAAGCGTGGGAATAGGGTCACACCTTATCTCAAGTGCACACGCCTCCAAGAAATGAGGCTCAGCCGCGAGCCCCCTGCACCCCGAGACCCTGAAAGTGGAATCTCCTGGGTCCAGGATGCTCGGCCGCCCGGTTCATAGGTGGCAATGATTCAGTGGGACCAAACACCGGGTGGCCTATCTTTGTCCTGTGCACGCGGCACCCCTGGGCGCGGCTCCTCGCTGAGAACTGGAGGCGACCCCCACCTTCGGGACCTGGGCCGCTGACGCGGGGGGCGCGGCGGGCGGGGCGTACCAGGGCCTTCTCGGCGTGGAGGGACAGCGGAGAGTCGCGGGGCGCCGAGGCTCTGGGCTCGCAGTCTGCGCCGTGCAGGTTCAGGAAGGGCGACTCTGAAAGGCAAGCATTCCTCGTTACTGTCCTCGCCCCGGGTCACCCGCGCGACCCCGAACCGGACGTAAGGATCGCAACACCGCAACGAGGGCACGCGCGTGCGCAGCGCTCTGATGGGCGTCCCGCCCGCCGCCCGCCCGCCGTGCAGCGCGGCGGTCTCCGAGTGTCACGCACACCACGAGTGGCCGGCCTCACGGCCATTCTGGGAACGAGCAGAGCCGTCGGCCTTCGCGGACAGCGAAACGAGGTTCGGACAGGCTGCCCCTTGTTCAAGGGCAGCGGCGCCCCCGAGGTAGGCGGGCCGGCCCCCTGCTCGCGTGGAGTGAGCGCGGTGAGCGTCCCCACTAGGCCCCTCCTGCCTGCAGCACTGACCACAGGTCAAAGGAATGGCAAAGGGGAGCACACAGCCAGCCACGAGGACCGACGCTGGAAGATACGCAGATGAGCCCAGGATCCAGAACACATAAATAACTCCTGAAATCCAACAAGAAAAGGGCAACCAGTTAAAAACGCGCAAAGGACTGGAATAGGCGACTTTCCAAAGATACAGAAACAGCCACGTGTACACGAAAAGACGCTCTGTCAAGAGTAATCAGGGAGCAAAACCAGACCTTCGCGGGAGACCACTTCACACCCACCAAGAGGGCTACGGTTTCCTCTGAAACGGAAACGCGCAAGTGTTGGCAAGGGCCACGGGGACTGGAACCCGGGCTGGCTGGCGGGGATGCGAGGTGGTCCCGCCGCTGTGGAAACCAGTCGGGCGGTTCCTCAAGAAGTCCAAGGCAGAATCACTTACTATGCGACCCCACCGCCCCACTCCTGGGCGACACCCCAAAAGACACAGAATCACTTACTATGCGACCCCACCGCCCCACCCCTGGGAGACACCCCGAAAGACACAGAATCACTTACTATGCGACCCCACCGCCCCACTCCTGGGGCGACACCCCGAAAGACACAGAATCACTTACTATGCGACCCCACCGCCCCACCCCTGGGAGACACCCCGAAAGACACAGAATCACTTACTATGCGACCCCACCGCCCCACCCCTGGGAGACACCCCGAAAGACACAGAATCACTTACTATGCGACCCCACCGCCCCTCCCCTGGGCCGACACCCCGAAAGAGCTGAAAGCGCACACTGAAACGAGAACGCGCACACGCGTGTTCACAGCAGCACGAGCCACGGCAGCCGAAGGAGGGAGCGGCCCAGATGTCCCCCAGCTTACGATGCGCAAACCACGGCAACACGCACTGGGAGGCTGTTCAGCCTCAGGAGAGGGAAGGGCTGTTACACGTCGCCGCCTGGAAGAGCCTCCAACAGAAGGTGAAGGAGTCAGGCACAGAAGGTGAAGGAGTCCAGGACCGCCTCACCCCCAGCGCATGACGCCACTTACAGATGTCCAGACCAGGCGAACCCAGACACAGGGTGCACGCTGGCGCCCGAAGGCGGGGTCAGGCAGAAACCCCGCCGCGGGTACGAGGGTCTCCGGGTCTCCGGGGCGCGATGGGAACGCCTTGCGGTGATCGCACACCACTGCGAATGAGCTAGATGCCACTGAATTGTCCCCTTGAAGACGTTTAATTTTGTGTTAGTGGATGTTGCCTCAATAAATTACTTTAGGAGATCTGCTCTAACTCAGCAATCCCCGGAGAGCGTGGAATTACGTCCCCGGGGCTGAGGGCACCGACCTGGCCAAACCCTCGCGTCTGCGTGTACCGGGAACCGGGTCAGGACGTGGCACATCGAAGGGCCCTGCGTGGAGAGCAGTTACCGGCGCCGTGGGTTAAACGTCACAGGGCACAAGCGGGACTCGGGGGGGTACGTGGCTTCGGCTGGGGCTGTGGGAAGGGGGCGGGGGTCCTGGCAGAGTAAGCAGGCGAGAAAACGCAGAGGGGCAGGCAGCCCTGGTGGAGGAGGGAGCTTGCGCCCCAAAACCAAGTGCGGGCGGAAGGGATGGCGAGCGGTCAGGCTGGAGAAGTCCTGGACCCAAGAAAAGGGCTTGGGGGACAGGGGTGAACAGTGACGGCTGTCGGGAGACAGCTGGAGAAGGCCATGACGGAAAGACGCTTTAGAAGCGCATTTTTACAACCCGTTTCTCCTACCTTTTCAAAAAGCCAGCCTGTGGGCACCCGCCGTGCGCGAGGCGCATGCGAAGCACCGCACGCACACCGCCTCCTTCGCGGCCGCCTCACTCCCGCTTCCATGGATAAACGCCCACAGGGCTTGAAAAGCTGCGCCGCAGCCCCCAGCGAGGACCCAGCCTCCGCTGTCAGTCCCAACCCGGGAGCCCGTTCCCCTTCCTCAACGCGGGCGTTTCGACAAGCACCCGTGACCTACACTGTTGCAGATCTACTCAACTAGGCAATTAAACTAAATCCTGACAAACATCGCCAAGGCAAAGGGTATAAACCATTTTAAGGCCCTTCGTGGACGCTGCTCCAACTCCCCCCACGCGCAGGGCCACGCCCGAGACCCTCTATGTCCCCGTACGTGGGCCACTGCCGCCCTTCCTATTCTCCCCGACCTGAACACAGCACTGGTAAGGCGACCCTGTCGGTCTATTGGCCACTCTGTCTCTTCTCTCGTAGGTCGCTTACACCCTTTGCTCATTTTTAAGTCATCTGAATCCACTGCGACATAAGACATGGAGGAGAGTTTCTAACCAGCTAATTTCGGAATGGCTGGCTGGCTTCCCCGGCACCACTTAGTACGCCATCGACCTGAAAGCCGCCTGCACAGCACATCATGGACAATGGGACACTGCTGGGCTTGCTTTAAACAGGGATCTTGGCGGTCATGTGTAAGATCACTTCTATTCAGCTTCTGCGACGGCTCTGACAGGTGACTGTCCGATCTCTGCATGAACATTTACTTTAAAAAAATTCGTGGTAATTCATGTTCATTCTGGAAAACATAGGAAAATCACACGATATAGAAGTCATTTAGAGTACTACGATGCTTTGAGAACCACTGTCAAAGCTTTGGCGACTGCAGTTAAGAGCAATAATTCTGAAATCAGACAGCCTGGGCTTCAGCTCCTTTCCTCGACACTGCTGACTAGCTCGTGGCCGCTGACTCAGCCTCTTCAATCTTCAGTTCACTTGTAAACAGCTCAATAATAGTATCTGTCTCATAGGCCCGGCTGCGAGATTTAAACAAGGGAGCTCAAAACATGTCTGCTACTCTTATCATCCATAAGGCGCATCTGCTCCTCCTATTTATGAGTTAGCCTTATCAGGTTATCTATTTTATTCTTTTAGCCTTATCAGGTTTATCTATTTTATTCTTTTCAAAGACCCACTCTGGGATCCGTTTATCGATTCTGCTCTTACTCCGTTTCTAACTCATTTATTCTGGGTTGGTTCGATTTAATCCTTCCAACTTCCCTTACTTCCTCTTGTTTCTCAAGGTTATT